AATCGCTGAGCACCGAGTAGCAAGTTGTTTGCACCGAGTAGCAAGATGTTCGCACCAAACCAGATGTTAAACTGACCACAAATCAGGTGCAGACTGACTACGTAAAAAGCACAGAGCATGGCAAATTATTCACCAAATATAAAGAGAGCTGCAACGCTAAAATTGATCCAAGCACCGAGTATAAAGCGGTTAGCAGTGATTATAAGGGCTTTCACACCACGTATAATGTGGAAATTACCGAGAACCTTGGATAAAGAGCCGAGTATAAGGTGACTGGCACCGATTATAGCAACCAGACCACCGAATATCATAATACAAGCACCGAAAATGATAAGAAAAGCACCACGGATAAGGAAAGAAAATATCATAAGACAGTTATGGCGTTCTATAGTTTTCACTAATGCAGGTATGTTAATTCTTTATTCTTCCTGCATGCTTTTCTGCATATTTTGATTTCCGTCTGAAAACAACGTCTGGGTGAAAATTGTTCTCCAGCCGTTGAATGGCAAGTTACTGACAACATACTCAAAGCAAATTATAAGCATAAATTTGCCAAGAGTTAGGGTTAGGTGAAGAAAATGATTGTGATCATATGGCAGTTAGTTCCAGAGGAACCCTTGGATGTAGAGAGCGAGACCACATGTATTGTTTTCTTTGCCTATAGTGAATTTATCACAAGGTGAAGGTTAAAAAGGGGTTTTTTAAGCTGCCCCTGCTTTTACACCATTTAAACAGTCGCAATTGATCAACTCACTTTATTATATGGATCAAGAGTTGGTTCATGGGACTTTCACTGAATCCTGATTTATTTCGCCTGCCTTGTACGAATGTGAATAATTATGATACATATATATATATCACAAAAGCGTTATCCTTGTAGTTTAGTACTACAAATTTTACCTCTTGGCCGCCATAAATTTTAAAAGCAGGACTGAATGCATCGCTTTGTGGCCCGCAAAGTTGCCAAAGTTGCATGAATTTGCTATAGCTATACGGAGGGGACAACGACCTTCTGGGAGAATCTCGGACCCTTCGATTTTTCAGAGAAGACAAAGCGCGATTGATTCACATTTTTTCCATTTCATGACAATTGTGAGAGGTGGCGCACGATTGGAATGAAATTTGGGAATAGTGTAAACGAAAAATGTCAGTGAGCGTTCTACTTTTGATCTCCAGTTCATCAAGTGTATATGCAAACATGCTTTTCCATTTTCAGGCCTTTTCTGTTTTGTCAAGAGTAAAAGACGAAGATGCAAAGAAGAGAGAAATATTATCAGCGTTTTACTACGAGGTTAACAAGTGTTATGATGGACTTGATGACAAGATTCGAACATTGCTGTTGAAGGATATGGGCAACGTGACAGAGAAGATGAAAAATCACCAGATAAGACTAGGACAGAAAGATTACTATCTTTTAGTGGCAGGTAAATGTAATGAAATTTGCTTTGGTTCATTATATAAACTGTGAGCGCACGTCAGGCGTGAAGCAAATGTTGAGTCACTGACTCAGTTGGTAGTAACTACCAATTAGTATTTGGAAGGTGACGAAATATTTCGAGGTTTCTTTTGCGCAGCGTTTTCGATAGAAGCTCACTTGTGAAGATGTCTCTTTAGTTGCACATCATCTTTAAGTCAAATTGTATCTTTTGTTCAATCGTGATATCTCATTTTTGTAGGGCAATACTATTGGTGCGTATAATATTGGCTCAGAGAGCCACTCGTTTAATTATACACAGTTGATAAATCTACAGATGAGAACAATGGGACTTGTATGACCATGAAAACTTTGGACACATTTTTTCTGGTGATACGCTCTCAGTCAAACTTTTCTATCGTTGCATTTTTAAAAGGTGAAACTGGGTCTGGAAAAAGTAGTCTGGTAAACCTCATTCTCGGAGAGGAGCTTCTTCCTTATTCTGTACTTAGCACCACCTCAACCATCTGCGAATTGAGATACGGAGAGGTTTGCAGAATTGTTGCCCACTTTAAGGTTAAGGATCCGGAAACAGGATTGCAGACGAAATCTTTTCCCCTAGTAGAGCCTTCAGGTGAGGCATCTAAAAAGAGCTTCCTTGAGCAGATCTCTCCCTATGTCCATTTGAAGAGCGACCGAGAAAAAGGTTCCATTTACAAGAAGGTTGAACTCTACTGGCCGCACCGACTTTTGAAGGTAGCGTGATTATTGCTTTATTCGCAGAAAGACGATTTAATTTTTTTTCGTATGCAATTGCTGATGCGTAATTATTAAGGTTAAAGAAAAATATTAATAAAAAATACAACTAGTTGTGTCATAAGAACCCCATCCCCCCACTTTCCCTTGGAATTTCCACTATTTCTTGTGTGTTGTAAACCTTGCCCCGTTTTCAAGGGATATAACTATAATCAACTTAGAACAGTAGAGTCGACTGACTTTTTATTCCTCTCCTGTATTCACTCAATTTACAACGGGTGTGTAAAGAGCCACTCTAACAGCTAAAAAGAACTCCTATTTTTATACTAAATTGTAAGCAATAAAATTGGTTATTGCAAGGCACTACTTATAATATAGCTAGGTCAACCAAGGTCGTGTCAATCGTAGAGAACGATCACATTGACATCAGTTTCTTGAAACTGAAAACGAAATGATCTGGTAATATTGCCAGATACACGCACAACGTCACCCTTCCGATCATGTCCATTGTAAATGGAAGCAAATCAAAAAATGTTGTAGCTCCTTGTAACGCAATCACAATTGTAACTTCCAATCTACAACAGCGTGTACCGAAAGCTTAGTTATAAATAATGTTTTGTTACTGGAGAATTTTCTGACCAACACTGTCTTATTTTCAGAATGGAGTAGTTATTGTCGACAGTCCTGGTGTTGGTGAATCTGACATCATGGACGAAATAGTGACAGAGTATCTACCTCAAGCCTTTGCATTTGTATATGTCATTAACTGCGCGAACGCCGGAGGAGTTCAGAGAGACAGAGTAAGTGTGAACGTAAAACAGAAGTAAAAAACTGCCCTTGCAATAGTAACTTGAATTTAACATTCGGAATTGTGCACTTTCTTATTAAATTTGCCTTACTTTATGCCAAACCTTGTTCGAGGAGCTTTTGACCTAGGAGCCAAAGAAGCGAAATTACGAGAGAGCGAAGCTTGTGGATCACTGTGAGCTTCGGCGAACAGAAAATGTTCAAGGTGTTTATTATCCTTCAAGTATTTTTATTAAAAAAACAATAAAATGTCTACGAACAGGTCCCTGTTAGCTATTTGGGATATTTACTTTTCGGTTTTCTCTGGTACGACTTTAAGAAACATCAATCATGTCCTTCCTCCTGCGACATTAACGAAACGTTGTCTTATCTTGAATTAAATTTTAAATGAAGACTGTTATAGTCGTAGACGAAAGGTTTGAAAATTAGAGAATATCACTTGAGGTAACTCCTCGGATATTCCCCAGTTTAGGCTTGGTATATTGT